TGTATTTGAATAAAATTTAAATTCGGTAACTTGAGCTTAATTTTCATTGAAATTAACGTCACAGGACTTCTTTTTCATGGACACATTTAATATAAGATTGCAATTTGAAATAAAATTTTCTTTCTCTCCCCATTAAAGTGCAATTTCAGTATGAGAAAGTGGAAGTGAATTTATGTCTGTTTTATACATTTTGGCCCTTTGGGATTTCGTGGTCGTATAGTTGTTTGGATGAAAGTGGAATCTTAAATCCTTAAAAGGTTCCCTATAGAAAGGCGGGTGTGAATGAGTCCAGCCAAAAAAAAAAGAAAAGAAGAAAAAAGAAACGAGAATGAGAGTGAGAAATTGAAATTGTTAGATGAAGCGCACTTATATACATCGTTGACGAGTGAGATGAAAATGATATGCGCTTGACCTTATTATATTTTACTTGCTTGGAAACCAAACTCGGCGCGTTTTGTTCCAAAAACAACGGTGTCTTGTGGTTTATATTACATTTTTTGATTTTAAAAAACAATTGTTTTTTTAAGTCTTGCCGATAAATCAATATTATATTTTTAAACGTTTTTTTTATCATTCTCGCTTTTTTCTGAAACAAGATTTTATTTTTGTTACTTTTTATAATTTCAAACTTTAAATATCTGCAAAAATTATTACTATATGACATTAAATTTAAGTTTTATTATACATTAAACAAAAAAAAAATTGGAAAAATTACGCGCGCTTTAGCGGGAAATTTTGCTATTTTTAATTTTAAAGAGAAATTCCCGTGGAAATTAATACTCGCAGTTGAAATATTTGAAAAAACAAAATCCGTTGGATCGGAAAGGAAAATTTTTATTTTTAATGACATATTTTATTTGTAACACGTAATTACATTGCGCTTGAACGTTACGGAGAAAAAAAAGGACAACTGTTAATTACGTTACTACAGCTGAGTAATATTTTCTCTCAGCGTGTGATAGTTGTTCTATTATAAATATATATTGAAAGAGAGGAAATGTTATTTCAACTAATTAATGACTGCTAATATCGATTATTAATTAACACTCATATTTGCTACACGAAAATTAATTCATCACTTAATTATTTTATATATCCGCACATACGAACACACACTGAAAAATAATGACATAAACTACAAATAGAAACTTGACTCTTTTTCAGCTCTTATTTTAAAATAATATGGGGAAAGGGGGATTGTTTTCTCTTGTTTCAAATTAACAGTACTGCGGGGTAATATTTAATCCACTGATCGTATTACTTGTAGCTCATTATACATCTCCGTGTTTAAAAAAAAAGGAAGAGCATAAAAAATGTGTGTCCCAGTTGAAAATTCAGTTTAAAAGTATGATATGCTCTTGCATGCACTCTGTAGTTTATGCTTGTTTAGAATATACATTTCCACAGTGCTCTAAATCTTTTTTTGTATGTTGTAATTATATAGTCGGTTTATTTTACGAGTTTGTAGTATTTTTTTTGTTTCATAGTATTTTAGTATTATTGTTTTGGTCCTATGTCCAATTGGGGTCCAATCCTAACTACGTTTTCCTATATTTAATTTTTTGTTTAGTATTTATTTTTTTATTTTATATTTTAGTTTTATTTTTTGGTCCTATCTCCGATTGGGGTCCAACCCTGACTACGTTTTCCTATTTAATTTTTTGCTAAGTATTTATTTTTTTATTTTATGGTATTTTAGTGTCATTCTGTAGTATTTTTCTCTTTTTTTATTCTGTCTTTGGGAATTTTGATCCTTTTCAGTTTAATTGAAATTTAGAGAGTTTAATTGAAAAGATGGAACAGGTTGATTAATTTAAGATCGGATCCGCCCTATTTTCTCGAGGAATCGCAAAGGGAAGGAAGGGTTGACACTCGCGGGGCGTTGACAAAATCGCGCATGAATAAGCCCTTCCCTTCTCGAAAATTGAGAGCGACTTTTCTCCAAATATTCCGAAGAATGAAATAATTATTCTAAATTCTATAAACCCAAATTTTAACACTCTTTTTTTTGTGGTAGAAAAATGAAAATATTATACAAATTGAAAAATTAAGATGCATTAAGAAGCAGAGCAGATTTTACTTTAATTATACAGAAAAGATAAATTGACGCGCAAACAATTAATAAATGAAATTAGATAGATGATTGTGAGAGGAAACTTTTTGTTTGGATATACATATATATTATACGGTGGAAAGCAGTACATGGAGATTTTCAAGAGGGCCATACTTGAGAAGGGCTCTCTCCTGTTATCAATTGAGATCCGCCCTTGAGACTTGAGACGAGAGTGCTTCTCTAGAAATAACTCGAGAGACTGAAAGCACATATACTCACCTCCAGCACCCTCGCGATATTAATTACCGGGATTTCACCCTTCCACTTGTCTAAAGACGGGCTAATTTACCGCGAGAAACGCCGCCCGTAGGCGAACCATACGTGACGTTTTCGAGTTTACAAAGTCATTTACACGTGGTTACACGCATCTCCAAAGATGCCTTTAGAGAAACGTGCCTTCAAATCTACACAAATGTCACCTAAATCATTCCACACGCTTTCATTTTCTCAAAATTTATTTTCCAAATGTTATTTTTTTGCGGGAAGAAAGAATCTTCTCGACCGTAGAAAAAACAATTTCGAGGAAAGAATAACAATCGAAAACCGTATAGTGTATTTTTAAAAGATCCCTCTCCTGATGAGAGTATTGCTAATTCTTAATTACTCATTTGGTTTGTTTTAATTTATTATTTCTTGATTTGTCCGTCAATCGATTTTCCTATCCAGGGTTGCTACTCAACCTGGAAATGTCAGGGAATTTTATAAACCTTGCAAAAACCTAGAAAAGTCAGGGAATTTTGATCCAAATCCGGTAAAATTGTTGTTTTCTAGAACTATTCTGTTTATTCTTGAAATCTAATTAATTTTTAGAATTAAAAAGAAAATTTTGAATTTTGGTGATTTTTTTTGTTAAAAGAAATCTAGAACTAGAAAATTTCCACGAATTATAATACAAAACATTCCATTTATGACAATAATTTATTTTAAATAATCTTATCTTTAACTGTCATAAAGTTATTATTTATAAATTATTTAATGAATAATTTTACTTAAATATTTAAAAATTAATTAAATTTTTAAAGAGTTGGGTTTATAATTTTCATAAATAGATAAACTTCAAAAAGTTTTAATATGAAATTTTGTAAAACTTCAATTTTCAATGAATTTAATTAGAAATTTTAAAGAAAATTTTTTGAAAAATAAATTAAAACTCGAACGCAAAATTACAATTATTTTTAATACAATTTCAATAAATTATTGAAATTGTATTAAAAATAATAAATAATAATAAATTAAAAAATAATAATAATAATAATAAATAATAATAATAAATATCAATTAAAAATAATTGAATTATTTTTTATTCAATAAATTATTATGAATAAAAAATAAATTTAAATATGAATTTTAGTTAAAAACTCTAAAATAATTAAATTTTTTTAGAAAAGTTACTAATGATAGCAGAAATTAAATTACATATTTTGAAAAATAATAAAATTCTTCGCAAAAATTTAAATTATGTTCGAAAATTAAAAAAATTCTCGTCAAAATTTCAAATACCTTGAAAAATAATAAAATTCTTTTCCAAAATTAAATTATTTTCATAAATTTTCCCCAAATTTAATTATTTTTAATATCAATTATTTTAATGAAATTTTCTAAAAGAATAATTAAATCTTTGCGTGGAATTTTGTTAAAATTTTCTTTAAATAATTATTTTTAAATTTTTTTAACAGAATTCCACGCAAACATTCAATTATTTTCATAAATATAATAAAAATTCCACTGGGATTAAATTATTTTCAAATTTTTTATAAATTTCTTCGCAGTAATTCAATTATTTTCATAAATAATAAAATTCTATTTAGGAATTCAATTATTTTCATATTAATATAAATAAAACTCATTGCAAAATTTCAATTGTTTTTAGTATCTACAATTTTAAATAAATTCCTCGAAAAATGCAATTATTTTTAAAAATTTTGTTAAAATTCATCAAAGAATTTAATTATTTTAAAAAATTTTAATGAAATTCTTTGTCACAATTCAATTATTTTCATTAATAACAAAAATTTCACTGGAATAAAATTATTTCCAATTTTTTTTATAAATTTCTTCGCAATAATTCAATTATTTTCATAAATACGTAATAAAATTTTTTTTATTTATTTTATTTTTTATTTCGCAATAATTCAATTATTTTCATAAATAATAAAATTTTGTTTGGGAATAAATTCAATTATTTTCATTAATCAAATTTCTCGACAATTTAATTATTCTTACAGATTTTATTAAAATTCGTCAAAAGACTATAATTATTTAAAAATTTGTTGATAAAAATACTTTATGAGAATTCAATTTTAAGAAACATTCAATTATTCAATAAATTATTTATTTTCGTATTTAAATAATTGAATTTTCGTAGAATTTTCAAATTAAAATTTTTCAAAATCTGAATTTTTTATACATTTTACTAACAAATTGTGTAAAATTAATTTTTTTGAAACAGTTTAATGGATTTCTTTTAAAATTATTGCAAGTTTTTATTTTCTAATTTTTATTTAATAATAATATTCTTTTATGTTATTGAATTTCAAAAGGTTTGAATGTGAATTTTTTGAAAATTTTAATTCCTATGCGGAAAAATAGTTATTGATGTTTTCGATTAATTTTACAATTACAAAAATTCTTAAATAAATGTAATAGTGTAAATAAACGTAAATGTAATAATATATTAGCGCCATTTTTTCTATTGTTCGTAAGAATTTGCTGACCCCCCCTCCCCCCTTAATGTCTTACGTAATTTATGGACGGCCCCAATATTGATGTGTCATTTTTAATAAATTTACTAAGCGAACAATTTTTTTCGTTGACTTCAACTTGGTTGAAAATAGAAAACCTAAATCTAAAAATAGAAAATTCTAATACTTGTAAATTTTGATTGCAGCTTTTGGTGAGTGGAGGGCAACCGACAACAGCGACATCGCCGGCGATGTCGTCAGGTGGAGCCTTAAGTCCGGGGGCCTTGTCGCCATCATCGACAGCGACGACGACAACTGGCGCAGCGCCGGGAGCAACGTCTGGTGGCGCCAGTACTCCCGTCGGTGGTGCAACGGGCCCCGGTGCCGGATGTTGCGAAAACGGAAGGCCCATGATGGTGGACCAAATTACCGGCCATACAGTGTGTTCCTGTCAATACGATAGTGCTGCACGACTAGCGCTTGGCGCATATCCTAGGCTGGGACCCTCCGCTACCTCCTACTCCACGTACCCCACCCCCACGCCTTCCACCACCGACCAGGGGCCCTATCCCAGTATTGGGATGGATAGCTCTGCCTTTTATTCACCTTTGGTAAGTTTTATATATCACACTTTGTTAAATCATCCGCGGTCATGAAAAACGAAACCCTGCGCGCCAGTGAGAGTCGAAAAAATAAAGAAAAATTTTCAAGCGAAACCGAAAACCCTTTTTTATAGCAGCTTGATTTATTTTTTTTTTTTTTTTTTTTTTGGTTCTTTTAAAAACCGTTTTGTTAGAAACCAGAAATAACCAGCTGTCCTTAAAAAGTGTCCTTCCTTTTGTAATATCATCGCCTTTTCGAGAAGTTCTTATTCTTCTTTTCAAAGTCGATTTTTTATATTACTGAATCTTTATCTTTTTTAATTTTACTCTTATTTTATTCTATTTCTTAATTTCTACACGATTTACAGTTTATTTAATTATTGTAAAAAATATTATTCATTTTACAACTGAAGTAAAACAATTTCATATCATCAGCATTCAAATTCTTGCTTAATTTCGTTTGTGAGTGAATTTTCATGCCATCTGGACGGGAATTCAATGAACTGCATTGGCGCGAAATTCAAATAAAGAAAGACTTAATTAATGTATAATAATTAAAAATAAATACTTAAACGACTTCCATACACTCAAAAAAAGTTTCTAGTATATTTGATAATTTTTTAACTACTTTCAGTAATTCACAAAGTCCTCAACTGAATTTAAAAAGTTGTATAGACTACAAAAAAGTAGTTCAAAGTATTTCACTTTTTTTTTTGTCAACCGAACTATTATTTTTTAACTGCATTAAAAATAGTAAAATCAATCACAACTATTTTTTTACATAATATATTTATTATTCAGTCAAAAAATTCTGTAGAATTTCATTACAACATTTTTGTAGAATATTTTTAGATGAAATTAATTTTTCCTCAAATATTATTGAATTTCTGTTATTCTTTTAAATAATTGTAAATATATTTAAAATATATGATTGCTGATAATTTTTCTATAGCTTGAAAAAAATTATGTATAAATTAAGAAGGTCATTTAAAGTTATTTATTCAAATATTTTTTTTTATTTTAAATTTTATTAAAACATTCTTGATTAAAACATTTTTTTTATTCAAATATTTTTTTTTTATTGAAACTTATTTTGGTTGAAACAGTTTTATTTTTTCATTAAAATATTTGTTATTAAGGGCATTTGAACCATTATGATTATATTTTTTTTATTAAAACATTTTTTTCATGGAATCAGTACTTTCTATTACAATATTTTTGTATATTTTTTTTTTATTCAAACATTTTTTGTTATTAAAACAATTTTCTGGTTAAAACATTTTTTCATTAAAATATTTGTTAGTAATTCAGTATTTTCCATTAAAATATATTTTTTTTATCATTTTTTGGTTAAAACATTTTTTTATTGAAATATTTTTTATTGTATCAGTAGTTTTTATTAAAATATTTTTTAATATTTTTTATTAAAATATTTTTTATTAAAATATTTTTTATTTAAATATATATTTTTTAAAACATTTTTTTAGTACAATATTTTTTAATTAAAATATTTTTTTTGTATTAATATTTTCTATTAAAATATTTTTGTATATTTTTTTTATTCAAACATTTTTTGGTTAAAACATATTTCCATTAAAATATTTGTCATTAAATCAGTATTTTCTATTAAAATATTTTTGTATATTTAAACATTTAAAGCTTAAAACCTTTATTTTTATTTAAATATCTTTCATTTAATCAGTATTTTCTATTAAAATATTTTTTTATATTTTTTATTCAAATATTTTTTTATATTTTTTATTCAAATATTTTTTTTATTAAAACATTTTCTTTTATTATATTTTTTAAATTAAATATATTTTTTTTGTAATAGTCTTTTTTATTCAAATATTTTTTAATTAAATCAATATTTTCTATAAAAATATTTTTTTGTTATATATTTTTATTCAAATACCTAATTAATTTCAGCCTTTCTTTCATATAAAACTTATTTTTAGGTTATTAATAATAATGTTTCTTCAATCTAAATAAATATTTGTTTCATTTAAATATACATTTGATTCAGTTTGATAAATTTTGCATTTGAAGATTCAACCATAAGTTGGCTATATTTTAAACAAATTTTTTCCCGAGTGTTGTGAAATTCTACAGAATCATTCTAGTAAAATTCTATTGAACTTTTCCGACTGGGTTTCAGTATTTGAATCAATAATTTTAGTACTTGAAACAAATAACTTTTAATTGACACAAATAAAAATTATTTGATGCAAATAAAAATTATTTGATGGAAATAAATATTCGAAGCAAATAAATATTCGATGCAAATAAAGATTTGATGAAAATAAATATTTGATACAAATAAATATTCATGCAAATAAATATTCGATACAAATAAATATTTGATGGAAATAAATATTCGATCCAAATAAATATTCGATCCAAATAAATATTCGATCCAAATAAATTTTGATACAAATAAATGTTTGATACAAATAAATATCTATTTGATTCAATATAGACAATTAATCGTTCATTTGAATGAAATAAATTTTTTTCTGTTAGTGCGCAGTAATGAATTTATAAAGACTGAAAGTCTGAATGAAAAATGAGCTTTAAATTCTCTGCGCGCTCAAATACAAGCTGGGTATAAATAACGTTTATTAAAAGTTAATAGAATTATTTTTCGACTGTTTTAGACGATGATCTATAGATCACGAGTAGCATGCGCTGCATAAAATTATATTTACGTGTCGCAAACGAATAAGAGAAAGATGCGATAATCCTGAGTAAGCAATATAGCGCTTTAACTTCGTGGAAATGAAATGTGCATGCGACCTTAAACGAGCCTCGTGACTTATTCCGAAACATATTTCAACAACTGTCAGTGTTCTTGTACGGAAAGAAAATGGTGACAGTCGACTACTAATTTCACCGACAAGAATTAACAGAGACGATAAAAACATTATTTCACGTCTAGACTCGTTTTAGAAACAGTTATTGGAAGAAAAAATACTATTTCTTTCTTTTAGCGCGGGCGCGATGCCGAGAGCGATGCTTTTTTTATTGAATTTAAAAAAAAAATTAGTTATACTATCACCAAAAGTAATTTTTTCTTTCCGAGCAATTGTCTTTTTGTTTCCTTATGCCAATTAGTGTAATTTTCACTTTATTATACGTTGTTACAATTGTATACGATTTAATTTACATTTCTTATCGGACAATTTTTTCTTTTCTACTATAGAAAACGATAGAAAATTATCGTGTTTGTTTAAATGTACATTTTTCTAAATATTAGAACAACAAATGTTGTTTTACTTTACAAGTGGAATATATGTTTTGTTGAATGGGGGAAAATCTGAAATGTTCCGTGTGCGTGAAAATAAACGACAATAATTCTGATGGTTAGTTGAGGTGAGGAAGGGACGCGGCAGCCAATTAAATTTGAATTTATCGGCATAATTATACTAATTGGCCGCTTTTACGTACGACGTGGTAGGTCAATTTATCCTCGCGCTTTTCGAGTCGCAGATGAGAGGCGCACTGCCGTGGAATTATCGTCACTTTAGAAATGCAAACGAACTCAAAGCGGACAAGAATATTATGATACTCTTAAATGTCATAAACCATACTTTCTATTGACAATAATTGTTTTCTTATTTATCAATTCTTTATGCATCTGTAAACTGAAATTCATGATTATTTTCTTGAAAATTTATTGATTCAGAATAAATTTTCCTTCCTTTTGTTCGTATACACTAGATCCAATTAATCTTTTAGTAGTAACGGATAATTTTTTACATTTCTAAAAAAATGGCTTTTTAAATTGATGACCGTCTTTTCGGGTCATGATAAGGTTTATCTTTTGATTTTAACTTGTGATAATTTCCAAATCCAAATATAGGTATTTTAGTCGTATTCAGTATTCAAAACACTTTATCTAAGAATATCAAATTGAGACAAAAAAGAATCAAAATTGTTGCATTGCAATGCAGGAGAAAAAGAAATAGAAAATCGAAAATTGAAGAATATTTTATACGAATAAAACTTCTATACTCACTTTTTTTCAAGTGATAAGAGTTAATTACGTATAAATATTTTCCGCTTGAATATAAAAAGAAACTATGTTTCGATTATTCCAATTAGTAATATAATGGTAATTAGACACAGTACATTTTACAAGGAAGTTACGATGAAATTTTACATTTAAAAACTATGTAATCAGTAATTTGTTTCTTTAATTTTTCAAAACGTCTTGCTTTTTTTTATATACTAGTTTCTACAATTTTACATAATATTAATGCTTCTCTTTCTTATGTCAATGACAAGGTAAACTTGTTCACCAACCACCTTTATCATACATGCAAGTAAAATGATATTCGTAATTACGAATCCAGAAAACCTATATATATGTATATATTTGCTTACGTTTTGTGAAACATTACTCTATGAACGCGTATACTCGTGAAAATTGCACTGTTTACGTCATGTCGTGTCGATAAGAAATTTTTCTTTGTTTGCAATACTATGTATGTACTTGTTAATTTACCTTTTAAAATGCCGTCCATGATAAAGTGTGTTATCTTCAATAATTCCTAAGTGTCTAAAGTACTTTCTTATTTGGAATTGTTTCTTTTTTTTTAATACAAAATATGACAAGAGAATTTCAGTAAATACTTGTAAATCGAAATTCAGGGTTGCCACAAAAATTTAACTTTTTTTTACGATTTCCAGACAGAATTTTAACTTTTCCCCTGAGTTTTTTTAATTGTAAAATTCTTTGAAAACAATTGTTTCATTTATCATAATTATATAATTTTTTCCATTAAAATTAAGATTTTCAAAAATTTTATATTCAAATCGCTTAAAATTTAATAACTTACAAGAATATTATTATAAACATGAAGAAGTCAATCACTCCGAGTCTAATCGTTTTCTTCGTGTTTTTATAATAATTAACCATAACCCAGAGATAAAATATTATTCTTTGATATAAGAATATTGTTACTCTAACTTCTTCGAAATTATTTTCATCATTTAAATTCAATTAT